CGCCAATTGTGCGAATAAAGAAGTCTGAACACATTCTTTTGACAAAGCCAAGCTATGTTGATGCTCACTGGTTCACCGAAAGCCCCCTCAAGCCAACCAGAGTGTCGATTCAGAAGTCTGCGGAGTTGACGTCTGTCGACTGAGCGATGATACTGCAGCTTGAAAAAGAACCTCATCGGATGATGTTTCTTCGTGAAGACTGTAGTTGATGCAGGTTTCTGCTTCAACTCATGTTAGTGCACTTCCAAGGCAGCTGTTGCGTCAGACGTGACAAGGCAAAACGAATCAGTGAATGCCTACAGCCGCTATGTCGAAACAAGAAGAGTAGAAGTTGGACCGTGAAGACTCTAGGCAGTTTGGTTCACGGTCTCGGTTCGAGCTGCAGTGTCAAATGAAGCCCTACATGCGCCCCCGGAAGTTGTGATTTTCATTGAAAGGCGTCAATCAGGCAACCCAGCCGGGGAGCTTATTCCAAAGTATGCTTACCTACCTAGGAGGCCTCCCGAATGGCGTAATCGACGGCTCTAAACGCTGGGCCTAAGAAGCCCTCGGTTCCCCAGCAGACGCCACGTGCCCCCACGACAACTGGCCAGGTCCGTGGTTTCGACGCTCAGGCTCTATGTAGGCCAGGCCGGTCGAGGGTTTGACGCTGTTTTTCTGAGTTCGTCCTCTTAAATGGGTGTGGCCTTTTTGCGCTGGAAGATTTGTGGCCTCTTGATTTTGCAGTGTTGGTAGTTGGTCAAAGTCTTCAGGGGGCATCGTTGAGGTCGATTGTGCTTGCCCACATGCTGCACAAACCCGCATGAACCACCTTCCCTTCCGAGACGATGGGCTGCAGTGTCTCCAAAGACACTGTATCGCGTGGGACGCAGACGAAGTTGGAAGACTTCCTTGACGGTCACGGCATTCTGAAGGACTGCCACGAAACATACAGTACTTGGTGCTCGTTGTTTTTTTCAAAGGGCAGCTGGTTATGCTAGGTAAGCTGTGCTTGGTCGACTCGGTCGACGTCGAAGTCTGTGTGTGTGTGTGTGTGTTTGACAACCAGTTTTTCTACTCCTGCTTAATGTCATGCAAGATCAAGATCTCTTGACCGTGTCTTGGTTGGTTGAAAGTTGACCTCCATCATGCCTGTCAGAAGCGGTCCGACATGTCTGGCCACGTATCCTCAATCTTTTCATCTCGTGATTCTTCTGTTGCATAATGTGGTTCGACTTGTATCACATCCGCAGAACCGCCTCAAACAATGCCCACGCTCTTCAGCCCGGCACATTCCCTGCTTGCTAGTCTGTCTGTATCACGGTGGGAGTGAGAGTTTTCTTTGAGTTTTGGTCTTGGTGCACTTGTAGCCTTAGCCCTTTCCAGAAACTCTGCTGCATTCCCGCGCTTCGCAAGCTGTGGGCGCAGGAGAATCGGTCCCCCGTTTACCTTAGATTCCGGTCTTCTCTCAGCAGGCTTCGTTATGAACACCATAAGTACCATAAGCATTCACTGGCCGACTCCTGCAGGGAGTCCACCCATCACGGCTTCCGCCTCGTTTCTGGTGGCTGCTAATGACTTGAAAGACGCTGCAGGAGACATTGTACTTGACCCTCCAGGAGGAAGCCTCCATGGTGGATTCTTCACTACCTGGTCGCAGCATTGAGGCATTTTTGGACCGGTGCGGCGAGATCCCCAGAGCTTCCATTTTCGTTTGCGAGCATTGGTCCTTCAGCACGCTCAGCGTCAATTTTGTAGGCATGGCCCCTTGAAGCTTTCGATTTTTGGAGTCGATTTCCGCTCGCTTAGGCTTAAGGACTTCAATTCGCGATCTTGCCAAAGGGTGCCGTACGGACCGGCGTCCAAGTTCTTAAACTAGCGACACACCGAGGTGATGGGTGCCTGTATGATGGACTGCGTTTGAGCCTTCGCAGCGTCTACTTGGATGGCTACGGTCCTCTGCAGCTCCTTTCGGGTGCGTCAGTCTTGCGCGTGGACGTCCAGATTCCGGCCCTTCCGGCGCTGCAGGAGCTCCGGGATCGCGTCCTGGGCGGCGACTTCGAGCGAGATGTAAACGCGTTCGTCGGCGATCCTTTCCAGATCCAGATGGACAAAGCCAGGTTCCTGGAAGTTTACGAGCAAAGCCTTCTCGCTTTTGGGGAGCCTGCGCCGGAGCGTCGCGAGAAGTTGAAGGAGATGATAGGCCTACAGGACTCGTCGGCGAAAAAGCGATCTCCAGCCTTAGTAACTAGCTGCAACTAGCTACTAGGAGTGTTTTGGTGTTCTCTTCAGTTCACAGGAGATCCATCTCCGGCTCTCCTCGCCGAGCCTGGCAGCTTCCTTTCTGGACGTTCTCGAGGTGAGACCCTTGGCGCAGGGCTTGTACGTGGCTTCGACGGAGGCCAAAGTGTTGGATTTCGTGCAATGCTTGGCAGATCAAATTCAGAAGGACTCTGGCGATAGCACCTGGGAGCAGTGCAGGGCAAGGGTGAAGGACACCTTGTCCAGGCTCACACTTATCCATGCTCCATACACTACTCTTCTGCTTCCGGAGTTGGATGGCAACTACGTGTGCACGGAGCCTGTGTTCAACGTGGACGAGACCTTTGACTTTGGCATGTTCGAGGGAACTGAAAATGTCCTTTCTGAGTGCTTTGATGAGGCGGAGAGTATTTGGCTTTCAAGCATCTCTTCAGAGAGCCGATGGCTTCCGTCTGACCCATCACACCTGGCGCCCGAGCTCGCAAGCTCAAGCAGTCCTTCGATGTTGCTAAGCGCAGACGTTGATGAACGGACTGCAGCCTGCTTGGGCCTTGATGGCCCACCAGTCAAAACGTCCCTTTTTAGCTGCGACGACTGGAGTCCAGATTGCCCATGTGGGTTCACCTGTCCTGTGAATTTGCTGGAGGAAACTCTTCATTCTGCGCCGCCGAGTCTTGATGCGACAAGATATGTAAAGTACGCCGATCATGTCCTGAGAGCTCTTCGACATGTGGTGGAGACGTTTCCTGGGATCAGCTTTCAGCATCGCCTGGCATTTTTGGTGCCGGATAATGACTTTTGCGACAGGTTGAAGCCGCTTCTGCAAAAGCGTCTGCGGCACCGACTTCCACATAGGCGCCTCTCCCTGCTCTCTTTCGAGGAATCCTTGCGCACGCTGCGTTCTCTGCCAACCACTGTTTCTTCGGCGGCAGAGCAAGAGAGTATCGTTCTGGATTGCGTTGACAACGCAGATGGTTTGGGCAGTCTGATGGCGGTTTGTATTGGGCTGGATGCACCCAGAGGTGGTCATCCTGGTGGTATGCAGACATCCCAACTTTATCGGGGCATAAAGCATGCTCAACTTGTCGCGTACGTGGTGAATGAACGCTTGCCAGGTGGGTGGTTGCAGCTGTGGAGCGCAGACCAAAAAGAAGCAGGTGGCAACGAAGAGCCATTTGTAAATGATGCGCATGCAGCGGTTTGTGCTGCACTTGAGCTCGCAGAGGCTGGTCTGAGCTTTGAGGCAGGGCATTGCCAGATTTCTAGCATCGTCTGCTGCTGTGCCACCACCGCTTCAATTAAGAGGGGGCAGCTGGGCGGGTGGGAAAAACGAGATGCCCTGGACAGGCACCCCCTACAGAACGACACTGAGGTGCGAGTCTCACTGCGGAGCGAGTGAAATCCACGCCTGAATCTATGGAGTGGTGTATAAGATCGGGGGATTGGAAAACCACCCCCTTTAAACGTCAGTGCATCCTGCCTTCGTGCAGGCCAGATGTCAAACCTCCTGGTGCACATAAAGCAGTTCTAGAAGTTTTTCAGTTTCAGGTGTAGCTGCCTGCTGGACGGAAGATCGCTTTTGCAGGCGTCCTCAAGGGACAAGAAGTGCTCCGGACATGTTTTTCGAGGCACATCTAGCGTAGTAAAGAGAGTTTGTCTTCGGCCAAAACATATTCAGTTGAGCAAAGAGCAGCCTCGGTCCGCCGATTAACGAAGCCGTGTCCGGCGTTGCAGACAACCATTTTATTGCTGGTGCTGAGCCGAAGCAGCCTCCCCCTTCTGAAAGAAGCAGGCCTGCAGCACAGCTGAAGCACCGGAACTTATTTAAGCAGGAGCACCAGCAGGAATTGTCGTCGTGCGATAGCTGTAGTGGTAAAGCTAGTGTTATAGTAGTGGTAGTCGCACTGCCGCAGCATAGGGATGGTAGTGGTAGCGGCAGTGGTAGCCGTCGTAGTTAGTAGTAATGGTAAAAATTCTTTTTATTGTGGTGGTAGCAGCCATACTTGTAGTAGTCGTAGCAGCAAGGCGGTAGTATTTTTGCTAGTCGTCGTCGTCGTATCAAATCCTTTGGTGCATCAGATTACGTTTCTAGATGCGCAGGCCGGATGTTTGATGAATGATTCGTGACATTGCAAGCTGCCTTGCCCTGCCAGGTCTCCCCTGTTGTTGCGAAAAAGGTTGCATCACGAACAGGACTGGAAGAGGGAGAGATAGATAGAGAGAGAGAGAGAGAGAGATAGCGAGCAGGACCCGCCGGAAGGAAGGAAGGAAGAAGGAAGCGAGCGAGAGAGGGAGAGTCCGGTTGGATCATCGGTGAGGCGGCAGTTGGACAGGGATTGCCTGATTGTCTTCCACATTTGTGTGCGCTTCGTGGCTCAAGGGCTAAGGCTTAAGGCCGGGGCCAGCCCTGCCACAGATTTTTCTAGTGGCCTGATGGATGATGGGATGCTGAACTGCACGTTGCGGCTAGTCTTGCCATTCGCATCCGAGCATTATCGAGGAGAAGACATTGCGTGCTTGTAGCCACGGGAGTCTGCGGCCTGAGCCCTAGACTCTAGACGCCACCAATTCCCGAACCCGAAGCCGTGTGCAGCAAATCACTGCACCCTCAGGTCCCCAACCCCAAAGTCCCAAACCGCTCGAATCCAAACATCCACAAGCCTCCCCATGGCTGCTTTCGCTCTTCGGGGCGCCGGAAGTTTTTCCGCCATTGGGCAATGGCTTCTGGCTGTGGCGCCCTGTCGAATTGGGATCTTTGATAGTTTAGGAAAGGTTTCCGGCAGAGGCTGTTTACGTTTCGGTTTGGATGTTTTGCAGCACTGAGGTTATGCGTTTTTTTAAGTTTTGGGGTGTTCTCTTAGAGGCTTCTGGGGTTTAGGTCGGTCTTAGGCCTTCTAGGTTGCCAAGAGTGGCCGAAAAATGATTTGCAAGTTTGTTCATGTGCGTAGAAAGGAAGTTCGTTTTTTATAGTTCTATGGTGCAGTGCTTGGCCAAGGGCGACCGGAACAGCTGTCTCGGGGTATGGGTTCCTGGGGTTGGGATCCACTGGGTGCACCTGCCCTGCACACGAGATGTCATTTGCAGCAAGGTGATCTTTTCGACTCGGGCGACTTGGCCGAGAAGGAAAGAACGAATAGGGCTCTTAGGTCATCAGCCGGGAGCTCAGTCTCAACTCAGCAGACAAAACATGGTGCTTTTGTCGTGGTAGCCCCCTGCAGCACTTTTCCTGCTGCTGTTGTTGGCGATTCGTTTCGGTATAGTTCGGAACATGCACCGGGCCAGTGCACGAGACTGTTCAAGACAACTTGATGAAGCCTGGTAGAAGCCTCAGCCTTCCACACAGCCGGTGCTGCTTGGGTTCCGCGGGGCAGTTCGGATAAGCTGTCGCAACACACTGCGCCATGTCTTTCGTCAAGACACCGCAGAGCGGTCACAGGAAACCGCGAGGCAAGATGATAGTTGGAAGATAGCTGAAAAGCCATGACCTTCCGGAATTCAAGCCAAGGCAAGTGCCAACACATGGACGGATGAAACACAGCTCGGTATTCCTGCAGGGCGCAGATTCTTGGCCTTCGTTTGGAAGCATGAAGTGTTTGATTTCAGTGAAATTTGTCCACCATGTTCCTGTAGCGAGACATGGCATTTTTGCACGATCTTCTGAAACCCTGTGATCTCTGAAAGAGGGCGGGAAGCCTGTTCAAGGTCGCATTTTTCGTCTTTGCCGCAGGATGGCTTAGCCTCGTTGCTATCCCAAGCAGCCCTCTAAATGAATCAAAACTGCAGTTCGCCAGTTCCATACACGAAGAACGACCAAAGGCTCGTTGGAAGATGCGAAGCGTAAGTCGTTTTCGGGTTCATAACCTGAGCTTGAAGTGTTCTGGTGTCCTACTTGCAATTTTCATGGATACAGCAGTTTGAGACAACCCTAAGGGTTGTCCGTACCTCTTCACGTGCTGTAGCCGGGAGCACCTGAGAGTGGGGAAGCGCTTCTTCGGAGAGTGCATGGGTCGATCCAACCTGGAACTTCCATCCGAGCCATAGAACCTGAACCCTAAGCCCCACACCGAAAGCCGAAGCCCTAACCTTAGAGGCGTCGTGACCTGAGCGCATGGCTTCCTCCTGCTTCGAGTCCTTCGTGTCAGCATTGCTAACAGGATGTTTTTTTCACCACTCACCTGAAGGGTCGAAACCCAGCCAAGTCCTCAACCCTGCGCTCCATACACTTCCATACCCTAGAAACAGCCACCGGCTTTGCTGAAGGCCCGCATGCTTCAAGACCAGTTCGGGACAGTCTAGGCGGTTGACTGAGGCGAGCACTCTATGGTGTGGGATTCAACGGGCAACGGCTGCCTGATTGCAGCCAGAAGCTTGGAGCAACTGACAGAAAGCCTTTCTGGCAGGATCCTGAGGCACAACCGCCTTAAATGCCCATCAACAATGAAGGCAAGCGAGAGCCTCTATGTGTGATTGGTGCTAGCAGGGCCGGCGCTAGTTTTGTTTCGGCCCATATGGCGCAAGCCGCTCGTGAAAGCTGGTGCCAGTGTTTCTTTGTGCATCCTAGAGCTTTGGGACAAGCAGACCCTCAGCGATGGAAAGTCAGAGGACAGCTGTGGGTTATCACTTCCCTCATGTTACGTTTGTTGTTGAAGCCTCAAGTATCAGTTCTTCTTGCCGCGGGCTGCTGCTTGTTGGATAACAGTCTGAGAGTTGATAGCTTGAGCCAGGTTCAAAAAGCCAGATGGCCCAAACAAACCAGAGGAACCCCTCAATCCATTCAATTACTTGACTCTTCGACCGACGAGGTTTTCTAGTCTTCGGTGGCAACAAATTTCTCAACGCCAAGTCTGACGAGCTCTATTTCTACAGTGCCGGAACGATGCTCGGACTGAGAGAGAGGTGAAAGAGGCATGGATCATGACAGGGAATGGGAAAAGATTTGGTAGCACCAGGCACCAGTGCTACAGATTTGGGGCTCGAGAGCCTTGACTTGCGGATAGGAAGGGGTTGAGGATCTGGAATGGTCTCCTCTCCTACGGCAATGCTTGCAATTTGTCCTGGTGACTTTTGGCCCGAGCCCATACGGAAGGATGTGTCGACTTCAATTAACCATCTCATCAAACCCTTTTCAGTCCTGCTTTGTCGTAGCCTGTTTACCCCAGGGACAGCTGGTCGACGAAGGCGTCGGGGCCGTCAGCAAGGCCCACCTGTCATAAGGGCTTTGAGTTTTAGCGTCTTCGGGCTGGGCTTGGCCTTTGGTACAGTTTGCGGTTGTCGGAATCTGTGAGGGCGAGGTTTCCGGACTCCAGAGGCCCGGCCAGGCTTGAAACGCCGGTGTTGGCAGCCCTGAAGTTGAAACGGCCCGGCTTGAAGCTAGTCAGATGCCCTGTAGTTTGAAAAGGGGATGCCTGGATGTGCCGTACGTTTCCACATGCAGGATATAGATATGGACTTGTGCACGGTAAGGCCTAGCGCTGAAACAACCGCCGTATCGAGCCATGAAGGGGAATTCTCAACGTCCTATTTCCAAAAAGGCTGTTTTCTCCAAAGTGCCAGCTACGGAAATTGGCTGCAGCAGGTACCGCCACTCTGCGGTGCTAGACCCCGCTGCTCGCACAATGTTCCCTGGAATCGGAAGAGATTTGATTTGTTAACCTAGAGTTGGTCGGAGTTTGCATGCGATTAGACAGGCTCTGGAGTGGGACGCTGGAGTCTTGCGGTCGGTTTACTGTCGTTGGGGTTTACGACTGTGTTTTGTCCTGTGGAGAAGCCAGAGAAGAGACATAGGAAGAAGCAGATGAAGAAAGAAGGAGAAAAAGAAGAAGGTAAGAGAGAGCGAGACCCACAGGGGAGGAGGCAGTGTCCCGGGTCACAATCCGTCTCTTAGGCCCTGCCGAAAGAAAGAAGAGCCCCAAGCAGACCTTCAACAGAGGGCGCAGGCCCTACGAAAGAAAGACTTAATGCGAGCGAGGCTCCTTCCTTGCGGCTTGATCTACGTAGAGGGCTCGAAGAGACCTGCCGTGGCTAGTCCAGTCCAGACCGGTCGACCAGTGCAGCAGGACGACGGTAACCCATCTTGCGAGTACAAGTTACTGTATAAGCGGCAACAGAGCTACTGCCAATGCGGTTTCTCAAGGGAGGAGACCGGTAGGCCAGCTCAGGTACGATTACGCTTGCTCTAGCAAGTCAAGACATTGCAAAGCCCTATGCTGCACCACAGTTCTGCACAAGCATGCAAACAGTGCACATCTCGCAAGCAGACGTGCGAATGCGAGTGCCGCCGTCGGCTCAAACGGTGACAAGTACAAGCATCAGCACTAGTCGAGTCGAGCTACCGGCTACCCGTGCTATGAATGCGGATGCTGCTGCTCATGCTGTTGGTGCTGCTGCCTCCACGAATTATCAGCGCGCAGAGCATGCCAGAACCCCGTGAGAGGAACTGTCAGCAGAACGTGTCACGGAGGTATGTCTTTGCAGGGGAGACCAGCAGCAACACCTTGAACGACCTCCACCGCTACGACATCGCTCTCGACTCATGGACCGAGCTCACAGGCCCCGCCACGCAGAATTCTAGCAGGTCCCAGGGCATGAAGAGTTTGGCGGAGCAGTCTTCGATGGTCGGGGCGGCAAGTAATCCTTGTCCAGGTCGGCATCATCACATATGAAGATCTTCTCGAAGCTAGCGCATGATCTCCTTAAATGCAGTGAGAGGCCCACTCCGAAATCCCAAACTCACTACGGTAAGGATGTCCCCCGGCCCCAAAGGAGGTGCTGAACGAAACTGGCAACACAGGCTCATTCTCGCCAGACTCAGCGAGGATTTGGAAACATTCGTATCTCACTCATGTCACGTTCTCAACCATTTTCTGCTGTGTTGAGTGCTGTCTCTTAACACATGCGTGGAGGTCAAGACCATGAAGAAGACTCACGGCAGAGTTTCTTCTTGTTGCTCCTGCAGAGGAACTGCAAGTAGCTGAAGTGTTTCCAAGCCAGTACGGCTGTTGTTCTCCTGTTGCAGGTACCACAGGGCGTTCGCGCCACACAGCGATCTGGGACGAGAGCGGAGACAGGATGATCGTCTTCGGAGGCCATCGGCTGTACATTTCCATTCCTTTTGAAGTTTGCATGTGGAGGCGTCACGCAGGCCGTTTCGGCCTACGATTCCGTGTGACTTTGGGCTGTTGTGACGTGGTGGCGGCGGTCATCGAATCATAACAGAATCCGGGTCAAAGGAGATGATGAAAGCAATGCTCCACCCCTGATCCTACCAGGCTTGGACAGCTCATCGAGCCTTGGCGGCTGGATAGTTGGAGATTCGGTTCGTGGCTCTCTCGCTCAAGTACCAAGGAACTCCGGAAATAAGGACTGCTGTGAGTGAAAGATCCGGGTTCTGATTGCTTATGTGTTTGCGCCATCAGCATAGGCCAGTTACTTACAGTCTGTTGTCATCCTGCAGCAGCCTGTTCTGGCCCTACAGCCATGACGAACCTGAACCCCACAGTGCCGAGGCCATCAACGTGGAACAACAGTCCCCTACCCAGTACAACTTGGCGAAAATGCGGCTTCTTCAACCCCCAGAACACGCAAAAGTTAAGCTTAAAAAGTCAGGCCTAAACTATAGATCCCTCCGAAGTCAAACCAAGTCGCCTCCTCGTCCGAAGCTTCCAAGGAATCGCTTGGGGAGCCTGTTGATCTACGATCGTGCGACTGATGCATGGAGCACGCTCGCTGCAACAGGTCCAGCGGCCCGGGAGGGGCATGTCGCCGTCTGGGATCCAAGCAGCCCTTTGGCAAAGACTGTGCTAAAGGCTTTTCGTCGCTTATGGTGCGTGGCTAGCGTCACAAATTCGTTTGCCTTTGCCAGCATTTCCTTCGGTCCGAGAAATCACTGTGTTCCCTTGTTTAGTTGGTCGGGTTAGTTACTAAGCTCAGCCAGGCCAGGCCAGACGTCCGTCGCCATTAGATGGAAATCAATAGGTAGGTCGTTGCTTGGCCAGCCAGCCAACCGGCTGTAAGGTCACAGAATGCTGCAGCTTGCCTGCACTGTGACAGCTTTACGGCTCTAGGCTGTTGGCTTCAGAGCTTCGGGTGGAAGGCGTTGAGCGAGCTTCTGAGGCCCCCGAGGAGTCGACGGGCGCCAAAGCTCCTCCCTAATTGAAACCAGGGCGGTGCGACTTTGTCAGCTGGGCGGGTGGGGAAACAGATTGAAGCCAGCTCTGGGACTGCGAAGCCGCGAACATGCAGGACACCAGCCCAGCACAGAACGTCACACAGCCAGTATAGAATCTGACTGCTGGTCACGTAGGGACATAGGTTTAGCCCCCCAGGCCTGCGCTCAATCAGGGGCTTCCAGGGTCACATGTGGAGGTGCCTTTAAGAGACAGCCGAGGATGTGCTGCGGGCTGTCGGACGCCGCAGCTGTGCTTAATTGCCTCCCATCCAGGGCCCAGGATGTGTTGCGGTGTTCTGTCCAGCAGCCACCTAGCCGACCTGTCCCAGTCAGAAACTGGCAGGTGAGTGAGAGCTTAACTCAGGTTTTTTGGAGGGACTAACCTCCTAGCTGTCTCAGGCAGTGTTTAGGAGATTCTTTGTGGTTAAGGCTTTAGGGTCTCTGCCATTCAGGTTTGAAGCAGGAAGACAAGGGTTTAGCCAGCGTTCGAAGCAGAAGCAGGGTTTAGCAATCAAACCTGCCGGCACAGGACTGGAATTGGATTCGGTAGGCCCGAAGCCAGTCAATGCACAAAGGATAAGGGCGCCGAGTACGACTCGGCTCAAAGGCAGGAAAACACCAGTACCACCATAGCCATATCTAGACCATCGCCAGCACGGCCGAAACCGCGAGAATGTTGTTATAGATCATGGCAACATGTAAGAGTCCGTGTTATCAGTTCTTGGATGAGAGAACCTGTCGGAAGGGGGGGGCTGGGGCCTTGACTCAGACCAGGTTGAGTTTTAGCACGCTTGCACACTTGCTTCTAGGTCATGGTCAGAAAGCCTTGTCAACAAAGAAGAAGCGCCACACTCAGGCGACGCTGGGTGATCTCTGGAGCTACGACGGCGCTTGGACTCAGCTCTCCCCGTCCGGCAGCATCACCGCCCGCAGGCACAAGCAATTGAGCCACGGTTTCCGATTCAGGGCCTCCGTGAGAGACATAGGAAAATAGGATGGCAGAGAGAATGCAACCGTTTAAGAATCACACTATCGGTGCATTCTAGCCAGTCAGCCGCGATGCGTTGCGAAAGCCATGCAATCACCATGTTCTTGAAGAGCAAGACGGCCCGAGCCCTCCTAAGCCCCAAGCCCCAAGCACCATTCTGTGCCAGGTATGCTTCAGCTGTTTGGGACCCAGCGGCCCAAGCAATGCTGGGCTTCGGTGGCCGAGGAAGCTCCCTGCTGGGCTCGCTTTTCCTGTGCCCGGGCGCGAAGATCAAGGAGTTGAGGGTTGATGTGTTTGGGGCCTACAGTTTTGCCACAGTGATGAGAGGTCTTTAGGAACTTGCCCCAGCGCTTGGGATAGTCGAGCGCGGGGAGGATGGACGGCTTGGCATAGTGTTGGCAGTCATTGTGCACCATGGTTTAAGGATTCACGAGACCACACTTCGGGCTGCAGGATGCTTCAGTGTTCACGCCGGCTTGAGGCGAAGTAGCTGGCGGGTTGGGGGGATCCATCCAACGCGCGGTGCACCACAATGCGAGCTCTCCCCGCAGTGCAGTATCCGCAGTGACGAAACGAATCGTCAAAATGCTGGGCGGGGCTGGCGCTATTTGACGAGGACTGCAACGCAGTTCGTTTCGGAAACGGCTTAGTGTTGTCAGTCTGTGAAGTCGGAGCATTTCCTCAAGACTCCGTCACCTGATATCAATATATCAAGCCTGGGATTTGCGCATGGTTCGATCGAGAGCTATGAAGGTTGGGTCGGGTGTTTGACTGATCACGTCCTTGTTGTCTTGGGAATCCCTCTCTGACGAGTTACAGCACAGCTTGTTGATGCCCCGTGCTGACATGATCACAAACCCTGATAATCGCGGAAGTTACGGGTGAACCGATAGGCCATAGGCCGCTTAGAGTATATCTTCCTATCCCGGAGAGTGAACAACTTCAGGTATTCCAGCACTGCCGACAGCTGGAGCGAGTACACTGAGTCAGGCCCCGGCGCGCAAGAACAAGGCGCACCCTGAGAATGGAGAGTTCGGATTTTGTTGCTTTTTCAGTCAAGGTCAGGTTGTGTGTTGTGCGATTTTTGAAGAGAATTGTGTTGTGCTCTGCGGTGTGCTGCCCAGGTTGTTCGTTCTAATTAATCGGCCACCGAGCACATCCAAATGCCGAAATTGCATGGTAGACGCTTTTTACTCTAATGCTGGTCGAAGACTCTTTGCTGAGGATGTTGTGAATAAGGGTCCTGAGCAACCGGGCCTTGTGAAGTGCCGGTTTAGCATAAACGCATTGGCCTGCACGATCTGTTGGGTAGAGTGCTGTTCAATTCCGGAAATTGCGCGTGAATTATGACAATCTAGGAGGCTGTCGTAACCGGGGCACTTCAAAAAGAGCCACCAAGCCTGTCCAAATCGCTTAAAGCTGAAACCTTCGGCTGTGAAAAACATTAACCGACAAGCAGAAAGGTGCTGTAGCTTGGGATGAAGGGAATCGGCGACTCTACACCTATGCGGGCAAGGACTGGTTTGCAGCTTGTCGTAGGGCTCAGTAGCGTGTAGAGGTTTTGTCTCGTTTTGAGGCCTTGTAAACTTGTAATGCTGTGAGGGTAGCAATGGCTTTCAGGGCTCGGAGCCTTGCTAGCCCGGGTTGCTGGGCTATAGAGCAGAAGCATGCAACAGTCTGTGGCGGTGGCGGCTCACTGCAGAATCTTGAAGAAGCAAGCCTGCCCTGCAAACGTCAAGAAGTGCGTAGCTCGTGCCGACTCCTCTTGGAAGGATTCCTTGGGTGGCCTGCTGGCGAAACTCTGGCGCTTGGATGCCTCGCACACCTCCCAGACGAGCACCAGCACCCAAGATGAAGTAAGGTACTTGAATCGACACAGAATTACGAAAATAGCGTGCACGTCGTTGTAATAGGTCGTACTTTACAGTCATGAGGGCATGAGTGCACAGGAGAGGGAGAGGAATTCCTCATAGGCGAAAGTGGTCTGCATTGTAGATCAGGTATGACCTGTTATGATGATCAATCCATTCTGACGTATGGCCGGAGCCAATAGAGGATGACAGACTCCCGAGCAGGCGGTGCTTCACGAGATTTCTTACGTATGAAGTGCTACGATGATATTTGAGAGCGCGGCACTGTACTTTCTGAGAATCTGGCAAATTTCTTGACAACGCGAGGCGTGCTTTGTCAGTATTCAAGTTTTGGATTTCATGGTTAAGCTTCAACATGCCGCATGTGCCAGGGCTGTCGGTTCTGGATAGGGACCAGACGGATCTTCGATTTTCGCATTTGATACATGCTGGAAGCGACAAAAACTGCAGCGTTTCCGGAACGCCTTCAAAAAACTAATGCCAGAAAAAAGACGCCACGACCACCACCGCCACCATCACCAGGACGACGATGATTGGAAACCACAAGGAGCAGTAGTAGTAGTAGTAGTAGTAGTAGTAGTAGTAGTAGTCGTGGTGTTGGTAGTAGTAGCAGTAGCAGTAGCAGTAGCAGTAGCAGTAGCAGTAGCAGTAGCAGTAGCAGTAGCAGTAGCAGTA